CTGGTGAGTGAAGAGAACAGTTTCCAATAAGTTAATCAAGTCTCTGGGGTTTTCAGAGAAAGGCGCATTCTGTGAGTGCCAATTGTAAAGATCACTGGTAGCAAAGGGCCAGTAATGAAAGGGCTGATGCCCTCTGGCTCCATGTGGCCTGCGCAGGGTGGCTCCTCAGGGTTAGGAGGCGGGGCCTGCACTCGTGGCGCTGTTGGCGTTGGCGGGGTGCCCATCTGAGAGGGGTAGGGCGGGGGAAAGATGTCTTTCTCCGTGCCTCCCTGGAGAATGGGTTTCTCTTCCGCCTTTGGTCTGAGAGGAAGGACCTGCAGAGGTGGAGGGGGAGCAGTCGCATTAATTGGGGGAAGGAAGGACTTGACCCAGGTGGGGGGGCCATCGGGTTATGGGATCTGGTCCTGGTGGCCCGTCTGTGGGCGGAAAACGTGGTCCTCTACCCTGGAAATCAAACTCAGGTTAAAAGTCCCTTCAGGGGGCCATCCAACATTGAAGGAGGGCCAAAAAACCGAAGATAAAGTTGTCCATTTCTTTTTCTTTACATCTACACTACTGTTATGGGCAATCATCTTAACATTCCCCCAGTGGACTAATGTAAAATCTAGAGGGGAAGGTGGGGTGTTGCCCATAGTATTTATCAGTCCCGTCCATTTCTTCAACAAAGAAATTAGAACGAAGATCACAAGACACAAGAACGACACAGACAAACAGAGGGCCCAGAATAAACTACTATGGCTTTCAGATGGTCTGGACTCTCGGCTATGTGAGTTCCCCGGCTCAATTATGCCAAAGACCATATGGATAGGACGGATAGGACGCGCATGTCCCAACAGGGTCGCGAGGTCCTCTGAGGTTTCAGATGGACTGTCCTGGTGGGGTGTCCGATGAGGAACACCCACCCCGACAAGGATGGGGACATCTCCTGAATCCTCCAGGTTGCCTCACTAGCGTTTCAGCAACAAAGAAAAACTGAGATCAGATGTCCGCAACCAAAGTGAAAGCATAGAGAAGACAGGCACACACACACAGTTTTACAAAAACTTACCCGGCCGGTTGATCACAAACCTTTTGGGGTTGGTTTGTCTCGGGGGGAGGGGGCATCCTCTGGGGGGATCCTGGACGAGCCCTCAAATGTTGTACCTCATCCACTGGACCCCAAAAAGATCACCGAAGACCCAACACACCAAAATGCAAAAGCAAAGGTTTATGGTTTATTCGGGCTTAAGCTCAGGTTCTCAGACCTCACCAACTCAATGGATCCATGATGAGAGCCCAGAGTAAGGGAGAGTGGAGCCTTTTATAGGTTTTAGACAAAGAGAGGAGGGGGATACCGAAGATACATTTTGGTTGGTTCAAGGAACCCGCGTGCGTCAACATAATTTTAAACTGATTGGATGTGTAAGATGCAGCCCTGGAAGTTTCTTAATTGGTAGGTGCTATTCTCAGCGCTGTGGAATGTGCTGACTGTTATCTGAGGGGCCAGGAGTCTCCGTTTTTACCTTATAGGGCAGTTTTCATGCCCGGGCTTGCTTAATCTATAGTTTCCTGGAAGGGGGGGAATAGCAGGCGGGGGTCAGGGCATGCCAGGGCATGTCTAGGCATGTCTAAAGCAGAAGCCAAGCATTTTACAGAAGCTAAATAGCAATTAGTGGGAGTCTGGAGGGATTGGGGGGTAACGGGTGAATGAAGAGGGTCTCAGGGTCCTACACCAAGAGATTCTAATACAGTCTTTATTGCCTTGTATCAAGGTCAATGCATTTTTTTTTGCAATCCACATGTAGAGCTTTATTAATTCTGAAATAAAAAGGCTAGCAGTTTTTCCTTTTTTAAGGTCAATGCATTTTTATGTCAGACTGAAGAGGTAATAGCAGACCTTTCTAAAGGAGTTTAATTTTTAACATTGTTTTGACCTGCTTTTTAGATTTTACTAGCAGTAATCAGCTGTCAATGTTTCTTCAGCTAAGATTGGGGTCTGCTGTCATTTCCTCACTTCTATTCTAGTTTTTATTTGCCTGAGTAAAATTTTTGACTTTTTTTTGTCTTTTTGAGACAGCTCTACCCTCTACCTCCAGCTGTCCTGGAACTCACTATGTAGACCAGGTTAACCTTGAACTCACAGAGATCCGCCTGCCTCTGCCTCCTGAGTGCTGGGACTAAAGGCGTGCGCCCACACACCCGGCATTATTTATTATTTTTATTTTATGTGTATACATGTATTGCCTACATGTATGTGAGTGTACCCGTGTCGTGCAATGCCGCGGAGATCAGAAGAGGGCTTTGGATTCCCCTGGAACTGGAGTTAAGAATGGTTCATCATCTCCATGTGGGTGCTGGGAATTGAACCCAGGTCCTCTGCAAGAGCAATCAGTGCTCTTAACCGCTGAGCCATCTCCCAGCCCCTTATTTATTATTTTTTGTGTATGAGTGTATTGCCTGCATGTTCGTAAGTGCACCCATGTCATACAGTGCCTGCGGAGGTCAGAAGAGGTTGTCAGATCCCCTGGAACTGGAGCTACAGATGGCTGTTATCCACCATGAGGGTGCTGGGAATCGAACCTGGGTCCTCTGCAACAGCAGTCAGTGCTCTTAACCACTGAGCCATTGCCAGCCCAGAAGAATTTTCTTTGTAAGAAGTGATTTCACAGTCTTGTTCCTCTCTCTCTCTCTCTCTCTCTCTCTGATTACTTAAAACTCATCTTAAGATAAAAATTATTTTAGAGTATCTGAAAATTTTATATTCTAGTCCATGACCACAGTCTTTGTTGGACTTTGACAGAGCAAGTCTTCTACCTCTCTGCCAGGGACATAATAATGTTAAAATGATCATTTGTGAAAAGCTTTGAAAGATAGTTACATTTATAAGCAATCCTACAGTATACAAACTTGTTTTTCCCCCTCAGATGATACAATTCATTTATAGTTGGATTTGAAAAAAGAAGAGTCAAGTGAGCTCAACTCAAAATCTTATGTTGACTTCCTTTCCTTTGTTCAGGATGTTTCCACTTCCTGGCTAGCCAACATGACTGAATAATGTGGATTTCTTGCATTGTTCCTTTGATTTGTAGGAACCAGAAATGTTTTGTAGGTGAACTGCCTTCCAATGATTACCTCAAGACAGTTCTGCTGCAGGCAGAAACGGCACAGCAACTGAGTCCTAGCCTTGCCTCAGCAACTAAGGACAGTTACCCAGACCTTCCTCACCTCAATATCTTCATGAAGAAACGACATAAAGACCTACCTAGGTGCTGGAGAGATGGCTCAGAGTACCCAGGTTTGGTTCCCAGCACCTATGAGACTGCTAACAACCCTCTGTAACTCCAGTTCCAGGGAATGAAATGCCATCTTCTGACTTCAGCAGGCATTGCATGTATGTGGCGCCTTTGCATACATGCAGGCAAGACACACATTAAATAAAAATCAATACAAAATTTTCAAAAAGACCTACCTAATGTTTGCTCAAAGAGAATTCAAAGGAGAATAATAAAAATGAGACAATATAGCCCAGCATGGTGGTGCAGGCCTTTAATCCCAGCACTCGGGAGGCAGAGGCAGGCGGATGTCTGTGAGTTCAAGGCCAGCCTGGTCTACATAGAGAGTTCCAGGACAGCTGGGCTACAGGGAGATCCTGTCTCAACAAGACCAAAAAAAAAAAAAAAAAAGAGCGACAATATAGGTAAAAAGAACTTTGTGCACCCTCTCTGTATTGTCTCTATGATACATTTGTTTGTTTTTTGGTCTTTTTTGAGACAGGGTCTCCCTGTAGACCCAGCTGGCCTGGAACTCACTATGTAGACCAACCTGGCCTTGATCTTACAGAGATCTGCCTGCTTCTGCCTCCAGAGTGCTGGGATTATAGGCATGCACCACCACACCGGGCTCTCTGATGTATTTATATGTCTAAGGGCATAACAATACAAATATTGTCCTGAATTTATGAAGGGTGAGGAAATGGAACAGGACCGTAATGTTTTTCCAAGTTCTGTAGAAAGAATGAAACAAAAATTGTGAAATATGCCTATACAGATTTAACAGTGGGTCCCAAGTTAATTGAGCTGGTAGTCACAAAAATCAGAAATTTTTTTTTTTGTTGTTGTTCTTGTTGCATCCTCACTGCCCCAGGGAGTCAGGGCTTCTGGAGGCAGTCTCTGCTGTCATCACATTTCCAGTTGAGAGCTGGACCTGAAAAAATTGTTCTTAATCTGTAGGAGTCCCATTACAATGTCATAGATATTAAAAACCAAGCATCAGGATAGTTTAATGAGAAACTCACAGCTTCATGATTAGCAAGAAGAAGCACAGGACTTTTCCTGTTTGGAGTACATTTTATTTTTTATTTTTATTTATTTATTTTTGGTCTTTTTGAGACAGGGTCTCCCTGTAGCCCCAGCTGTCCTGGAACTCAGTATGTAGACCAGGCTGGCCTTGAACTCACAGAGATCCACCTGCCTCTGTCTCCCGAGTTCTGGGACTAAAGTCGTGCGCCACCACCCCCGGCTTATTTTTTAACTTTTAAAATTTATTTTATTTTGTATATGAGTGTTTGCCTACAAGTAAGTCCATCAGGTACATGCAATGCCTAAACATGTCAAAAGAGGGCACCCTGGAACTGGAGTTACAGAGGGTTGTTAATGGCCACGTGAGTGCTGGAAAAATAACGTGGGTCCTCTGCAAGCGGAATTACCTCTCTTAACCACTGAGTAATCTCTCCAAGCGTCCTTATTTTGTTTTCTTTCTACTACCCTGGATGGTAGGGAACTCATTTTGTAGACCAGAATGGGCTTGAACTTTGAGTGCGGGAATTATAAGTGTGAGTCACCTTGCCTGGTGTACTAAACTTTTTGTTCCGCTAACGTCTCTGTAGAGCAGAGTTTCAAATTTAGGGTCTAAGGCAAAATCAAGGTTGGAGATTCGGTCTCTCTTAGACTACTTGCGAAGACAAGCTTTCAGCGATTACGCACATCCGGACTACATTTTCCGGTCGCCCTGTACAAACGTGACGTACTTCCTCCCAGCGTTCTCTGCGGCGGGAAAGTGCGGAGCGGGCTGCTGGCGGACAAGACCACCGTTCTTTGCTGCTGCTGCTGCCGCTGAGTTGAGAAGAGCTTCGCGGCCGTCCCCGCTGGCCACCATGTCCGCCCAGGCGCAGATGCGGGCCCTGCTAGACCAGCTCATGGGTACAGCTCGGGACGGTGAGTCCGGGCGGCTGGCCAGGCGCGGGGCTTGGGCGGGAATAAGGCGAGGCCGCCCGGCAGCCTGAGGCAGGGGCCGCGACCGTGTGCGCCTGCGCAGGTGTCGTTCCTTCCCCCGCGCGCCAAGCGTAGGCGCTGGGCCTTTGTCTGATCTGCTTGGCCTGCGAGGCTGCCGCTACCTCGTTCTGCTCGCATGGGTCCCGGCGGCCTCCTCCCTGGGAGTCCGGTCCGACCGTGGGACTCTGGACCCCTTCCGTATTCCGTCATGCGACTTCCTCGTGGTCGATGCCGGGAGTCGGCACCTCTGCGCGCACTACAGTGTCGGCGAAGGGCTGGAATCAGCGCGGGCTCGGGGCCGCTGGCAGCCGGGTGGTGGAATTCTTCTGATACTCCTCGGAGGAGAAGAGACCCCCGAGGGAGCCGGACGGGCCTCGAAACCCCGGAGCGTTCTTGCTCCACGTGGTTACAGGGGGAGCCGTAAATGAGCGTTTCTGACAAGGGTTCCCTCTCTGTGGTTTTCTAGCCCTCCCCGACCTCACAGGACAACTTCTGTTTAGCCAGCACTTGGCATTCGTTAGGTAGGTGGTTCTGTAGGGAGGCGCGCAAGATCATGGAGTCTCAGGAGAAAGCAGTTGCATCCTAGCAAAGCTAGTCCCTGCTGTGGTTTGTGTTTTCTTTTTTACCGAAGTAAAGTTGTAATTTCACACTGGCACATTCGCAGGGCTGTGCAGATTCTTTGCACTTTTATTTCATAGGTCATAAGTGCTATTAGCTTTCTTTGTATGTTGAGTTGCTTTTGAATTGCTTCCCATATTTTTATTTCATACAAACTGAACAATTGTGGCCCCTCTATTTTATTTATAAAGGTTCAGTGTATCTTTGCCTGCCTACATCAATCTGCAAGGGAGTTGCAGAAAAGCCTCATGTTCATCGAGCCGTGAGTCACAACCAATTTCTAAGCTGTTATAACAAAAAAGTGTTTGCTTTTTTCCCACAAGTAACTTTAAAAGTGTAGTTTAGAAAGAAAACATTTCCAATAAACAGACACTACATTAATCCTGGATGCTTGCAAATCCTAAAATATATTCTTCCTTGCTTATTACACAGCTCTGTGTCCTATACACAGATTAGCTTTAAAATTTGTCACATACCACTTTGCCTTTACTTTCATGTATCATTCCCCCTGACTTCCTTACTGCAGGTGTGGGCAAGAAAACTTTTCCTTTAAAACTTTTGAACAGCGGGCATAAAATTCTGCAGCTGAGTTCTTGAAGAATGCAGATGGGTACAGTATGTGTTGGAGCTCACAGTGTGTATTGACTAACCTAGTTCCTTTTTGCCTTTTTTGGTATTGTCTTGTTAAAAGTGACTCCCAGGTGCCAACTTTTGTTTTTTAAGGGTGGGGATGAAGGGGGGAATAAGAAGAAAAGGTCTAGAGATATTTAACAGTCAGTGATAAGAGCTTGAAATCTTTTTTCTGTGTAATTTTGGGTAAAACGCTGCTTATGAATTTGACTACAACAAAAGAGCAGATAAATAAATAGCTTTTGTTGGTGGAAATGACCAGCTACATGTCCTACGTGGTGGATTCATGGCACTCTGATCACATGGGTTTTGGTGTCTCATTGCCCACATTGGCCTAATGGACTATTGATGCTCAAGCTTTTACTTCTGACTCCTTGACTTAGGCATAATGATGGAGTTAGATTTGATTGTGATGCTTCATGAAATACTTAGACTCAAAACTGTCTTGTGTTCCTGTTGTAAATATCTTTAGATCAGTTTCTCAGTGTATGTGATGGGGCGAACACAAGTGCTAGACTTCAAATCATCCCTGTGTATTGTGCCAGATAGACTTTTGTGTTAACATGATAATACTTCATTTAAAACTGCGAATGAATTTCAGGAGATGAAACCAGACAGAGGGTCAAGTTTACAGATGACCGAGTCTGCAAGAGTCACCTTCTGGATTGCTGCCCCCATGATATCCTCGCTGGGACGGTAGGTGCTTTTGAGAACCTCATGGACTACTATGAATGGGTGTGACAGTATATGGATTTTTTTTTTTTTAAACCTAAGAGGAAGAACTAAATACATTAATATATGGAACTGGAGAGATGGGTCAGCAGTTATGAGCATGCATGTACTGTTCTTGAGTTCTCATGTGGGGCAGCTCATAACCACAATAATTCCAACTCCAAGGGACCTGATGGCTCTCTTCTGGACTTCGAACAACTACATTCAGGTGTACCCAAACACATATATACATACTTAAATACTAATAACTATTAGAAAAGGTTTTAAAATTAGGAGTTGCTGAAACATCCATCTTAGACTATAGAGTTACAGAAGAGTTGCTGTGTTTTTTTTTTTTGTAGATAACAAATTATTTTTGGAAATTTTTGTTATATTCATTCCCTACAATAGATGTATTTTTTTTCTTCTTTTTTTTGGGGGGGGGCATCTTTTTGAGACGGGGTCTCCCTGTAGCCCCAGCTGTTCTGGAACTCACTATGTAGACCAGGCTGGCCTTGAACTCTCAGAGATCTGCTTGCCTCTGCCTCCTGAATGGTGGGATTAAGGGCATGTGCCACAATGCCCAGCCATTAAATGTTTTTTTGAGGGCCTCATGAGACCCTTGGATAGGTGCTATATGGGTGGTAAAGGTTTTTGATTTTTTTTTTTTTTTACTTGTCTTTTTTGTCTTTTTGAAACAGTGTCTCCCTGTAGCCCCAGCTGGCATGGAACTCACAGAGATTCCCCTGCCTCTGCTCCCAAGTGCTGGGACTACAGGTCAGTGCAACCACCACGCCTGGCCCTGGTAGTGAAGGTTTTTCAGGTTGAATTCTGTTTTCCTTAAGCATGTAGAATTTGCTGATTTTCAAATTATAGATTTTTGGTAGAATTTTGTGTTATGAAACATTTCATTTTATGTAAGTGCACTCCTGTCATGCAATACCCTTGGAGGTCAGAAGAGGGCTTCGGATCCCCTGGAACTAGAGTTGCTACCATATGGGTGCTGGGAACTGTTAACCCTGGTCCTCTGCAAGAGTAGCCAGTGCTTTCATCTGCTGAGCATCTCTCCAGCTCCTCTTTTTTTTTTTTTTTTTAATTAATTTATTTTTTGAGATAGGGTCTCATCGTGTAGCCTTGACTGACCTGACTGGATATGTAGACCAGGCTGGTGTCATACTCACAGAGGTAACACCTGCCTCTGCTGCTAGGGTTAAAGATGTGCACCTTCAGGGCTGGAGAAGATGGCTTAATGGTTAAGAGAACTGACTGCTGTTGTGGAGGACCTGAATTTGATTCCCAGCACCTACATGGCAGGTAACAGCTGTCAGTAACTCCAGTTTCAGGGGATCCCATGCCTTTTGACCTCCATGGGCATTGCACCACACTGGTTCACTGACACATGCGGACACACACAGTCATACACATTTTTTTTTTTTTTTTTTTTTCTTTTAGAGACAGGGTCTCCCTGTAGCCTCAGCTGGCCTGGAACTTGCTATGTAGACTAGGCTGGTCTTGAACTCACAGAGATATGCCTGCCTCTGCTTCCTAAGTGCTGGGATTAAAGGTGTGCACCATCATGCCTGGCTAAAAATAATGTTTTTTTTAAAGTTATTTTATTGTGTGTATGAGTGTATTGCCTGCATGCGTGTTAAGTGCATCTGTGTAATTCAGTGCCTGTGGAGAACAGAAGAAGGTGTCAGATCTCCTGGAACTGGAGTTATGGACAGTTTTTAGCTGCCATGTGGGTCCCTTTCAAGAGCAGTCAGTGGTCTTAACCACTGAGCCGTTTCTCCAGCCCCAAAATATTTTTTTTAAAGATGTGCACTATCACGCCTGATACCTGCTAGGTCTTTGAAGATTTGGTTGAATTATTTGATTTTAAGTTGAATGTATGCTAGAGTTAAATTTATTTTTTAATTGAGACAGGGTCTTACTTTACTATGTGGCCTTGGCTGGTCTGAACTCTATATAGACCAGGCTGCCCTTGAACTCACAGAGATCCACCTGTGAGTGCTTAGGATCAAACCCAGGTTCTTGAGTCTTGTAAGCTCTGCCACTGAGTTATGTATCTCTGCTCTTTTTAAATTTTATTATTTATTTATGTATGTCTCTTTGAGACAGGGTCTCCCTGTAGCCCCAGCTGTCCTGGAACTCACTATGTAGACCAGGCTGGCCTTAAACTCACAGAGATCCTCCTGCTTCTGCTTCCCAAGTGCTGGGATTAAAGGCGTGCACCACCACGCCTGGCCTCTTTTAAAATATTGTATTATTTTTATTTTATGAGTATGAGTGTATTGCCTGCATGTATGTATGTAAGTGTACCCGGTATAACCATGAAGATCAGAAGAGGGCATTGGAGCCCCTGGAACTGGTGTTATGAATAGTTGTTATCTGCCATGTGGGTACTGGGAACCAAACCTGGGTCCTCTGCAACAGCAACCAGTGCTCTTGACCACTGACCCAGCTCTCTGTCCCTAGTACTTCTGCTCTTAATGTGGAGCATCTTGAGTAGTCAAGATTGCAAGGATGGGGGCTTAAGAGATGACTCAGCAGTTAAGAGCTCTATTTTACAGAGGACCAAGGTTTGGTTTCCAACACCGACACAGTGGCTAACAGCTATCTCTAACACCAGTTACAGGGGATCTGATGCACTTTTCTGGTTCCCTGGACATTGTACAACATGGGTCCACTTAAGTGTAGGCAAAACACTCATGCAAAATAAACTGGCAAAAACTAATAAATTAGTTTGCTTGATTATAGCCCATCTGTGTCTCAGTCTCAAAGTCACAAACCTTTTCACTGTAATTTGTATCAATTCCAATGGCTATTTTAATCATGTTAGTAAAAGAGAAATACTTTCCTAGGTTGTATATTTTATATATCTTTTAAAAAATAGCTTTTATTTTCTGCATATGATTTGCCTGCATGTATGTAAGTGTACTCGTGTCATGCTTGTGACGAGGGCATCCAATCTCCTGGAACTGGAGTTAATGATTCTTGTTAATTGCCATGTGGGTGCTGGGAACCGAACTTGGTCCCCTGCCATGGCAGTCACTGCTCCCAACTGCTGAGCCATCTCTCCAGAACCTTATACATCTTTTATGTTTTTGTGAGATGGTCTCATACAGCCCAGGCTGGCCTTGAATTTATTTTGTAGCTGAAGATGACCTTGAGCACCTGACTCTTCTGCTTCTTACCTATTAAGGGCTGGAATTAGATATGTATGCCATCATGCCTGGAGACAGGTCTTCTTGTGTAGCTTAGGTTGACCTTGATCTCCTGCTGCCGGTTAACCTCCACGGGTTTGAGATTATAGGCATACACTACTACACTTGGCTCATTTCTTAATTTTGTTACTACAGTTTTAGTATCTAAATCACATTGCTTTTTTGGTGACAGCTGAAATGTCAAATCATACTATGTGCTTTCTGGAATGGATAAATGTTCACATATAAATTTTTTTCCACAGCGCATGGATTTAGGAGAATGTACCAAAATCCACGACTTGGCCCTCCGAGCAGATTATGAAATTGCAAGTAAAGAAAGAGACCTGTTTTTTGAATTGGATGTAAGTTTTATTTGATGTTTATAGTTACTAAAGGAAAATAATTAGAGATGAACTTGCTTTCTTACCACACTAAATTCTAAAACACAACTGATAACCATCTTATGTCTTTGTTTTTCTCAGCCTGTTGTTGTCCTGAGTTTTATATCATTACTTACTGTTTTTGTCTCATATAACCCAGGCTGTTAGAATATGCTGTGTACCTAGGTTGACTTTGAACTCCTGATCCTTCTGCCTCTACCTCCCAAGTGCTGGGATTAAAGCCGTGTGCTATCTTGATAGGTTTTGTAATACTAGGGATTGAATTTAGAGTCTCATACATACTAGGCAAGCATTTTACCAACTAAACTAAACTACACCCCCAGCCCCTAGAAATTTTTAGCAAAGAGGCCATTACCTTGGGACATGAGTTTTCAAAAACCAATAAAATAGATTGTCTCACTTTAAGTAGTGTAGCTCTTACTTAGATCTACTAAACCAAATGTCAATGTACTCATTGTATAGCCTAGGTTGGCCTTGAACAATCCTCCTGACTCAGCCTCTGAGTATTAGGATTACAAGTGTGAGCCACCATGCCTGACTTCAATGCCTTTTTAAAATAACTTAATGATGCAAAAGAAATTTTATTTAATTTTATTTTTTATTTTTATTTATTTATTTATTTATTTATTTTTTTGGTCTTTTTGAAGCAGGGTCTCCGTGTAGCCCCAGCTGTCCTGGAACTCACAGTATAGACCAGGCTGGCCTTGAACTCACAGAGATCGGCCTGCTTCTGCCTCCCAAGTGCTGGGACTACAGGTGTTCGCCACCACGCCCAGCTTTTATTTATGTTTTTGAGACAGAGTCTTACTATGTAGCTGTGACTGGCCTGGAACTCGCTATGTAGACCAAGCAGAGAGATCTCTGCTTGGTCTACATAGTGTGTTCCAGGCCAACCAGGGCTACGTAGTGAGACCCTGTCTCAACCCTCCCCCCCACAAAAAGATATCAAGAGGGCTGTCAAGATGTTTTAGTGAGTGAAGGGGGGACTTGCTGTTAATGTTAAGCCTGATAACCTGAGTTCTACCTCCAGGGCCTACATGGTGGAAGGAGAGAACTCACTCAAGTTGCCTTCTGATCTCCACACATGAGGCCTACAAATCCGCACATATATACAGGCACACACAAAATAAATAAGCAAATAAGTTAAAAAATTTCAAAAAACAGCTGGGCATGGTGGTGCACGCCTGTAGTCCCAGCACTTGGGAGGCAGAGGCAAGCGGCTCTCTGTGAGTTCAAGGCCAACCTGGTCTACATAATGAGTTCCAGGACAGCTGGGGCTACAGGGAGACCCTGCTTCAAAAAGACAAATTTTTTTTTTTTCAAAAATACCAGCATATCAGGAATCTCATGCAGTGTGAGAGGGACAATGGGGAAAATGTTAGCTAAAAGGTACATACTTGCAGTTGAAAGATGTATAAATTCTGGAGACCTGATATATAGTGTGGTTACTAGTTAGAAATGATTATTGTATGTTGAAAATTTGGTAAGAATAGAGAGCTAAAGTATTTGAAATATTTTCAGTTAAACAAGCATAACTGAGATGATTGTATTAGGTTTGGTAATAATTTCACAATGTAAACATGTATCAAGTTATACATATTAAATCCCATTATTGTTTTTTGATTATACTTCAAAAAAGCCGGATAAAAATGGTCATAAAGCTAAGCGTGGTGGTACAGGCCTTTAATCTCAGCAGTCTGGAGGCAGACATCAGAGGCCAGATGTCTATGAGAATAAGGCCAGTGTGGTCCACATAGTGAGTTTCAGGCCAGCAGGAGCTATAGTTTTTTGTCTCAAAAAAACACAAAACAATCGCATGTATAAAAAGTCCAGTAAGGCCAGGCATGGTGGCGTACGCCTTTAATCCCAACACTCAGAGGCAGAGGCAGGCGGATCCTCTGTGAGTTCAAGGCCAGCCTGGGTCTACAGAGTGAGTTCTAGGCAGCTAGAGCTACAGGGACACCCTGTCTCAAAAAGACAAAAAAAAAAAAAGTCCAGTAAGCTAAGATAAATTATTTGTAATATGTGTGGAGATGGACTAGTTTCTTTCATATATAAAAAATTTTTCTTTTGAGATACTTTTTCATGTAGCCCGCAGTGCCCTTGATCTTGATGTCTGTCCAAGGATGACTTTGAACTTCTGATTCTCTTGTCTCTACTACCCAGATGTTAGAAGTACAGACATGGGCCACCATGTTGGGTTTATGCCATTCTGGGGATTGAACCCAGAGCTTTTCATGTTCCAGGCAAGCATTCTGCTTACTAAACTACACCCCCAGCTGGTACTGAGCAGTTTTATTTTATTTATTTTTTGTCTTTTTGAAGCAGGGTCTCCCTGTAGTCCCAGGTGTCCTGGAACTCACTACGTAAACCAGGCTGGCCTTGAACTCACAGAGATTTGCTTGTCTCTGCCTCCCAAGTGCTGGGACTACAGGTGTGCACCACCATGCCCGGCTTGCAATTTTAAATTTTAATTAATTTATATTTGAGGTAGGAATTGCAGGTTTATAAAGGTATGATGTACTGCCACACCCAGTTGTTTCTTTTGTTTTTTGAGACAGGTCTCCCTGTAGCCTCAGCTGGCCTGGAACTCACTATGTAAACCAGGCTGGTCTTGAGCTCCCAGAAATCTGCCTGCTTCTGCCTCCCAAGTGCTGGGATTAAAGGCATGCACCACCACATCCAGCCCACACCTAGGTTTTATATGAGTGCTGGGGATCAAACCCAGATTCCCATGCTTATGTGACAAGCGCTTTACCCATCTCTCTAACACCTTAGTAGCTATTATACAACTTTAAGAATTGGCATACACGTGTATGCCAATGGTACATACATATAGGCAAAACAGTCATACACAAATAATTTTTCATTTTTAACGAATTCATTAACGGCCTTTTTTTTTAAATGTGTATGTGTGTATTGCCTGCATGTAGGTCAGTGCGCCCATGTCGTGCAGTGTCCACAGAGGTCAAAAGAGACTGTCGGATCCCCTGGGACCAGAGTTACAAACAGTTGTTAGCTGCCATGTGGGTGCTAGGATTTGAACCCAGGTGTTCTGCAAGAACAACCAGTGTTCTTAACTGCTGGGCCATCTCTCCAGTCCCGAACTCATCAACCCTTTTATAAATTTAAAATATTTATAGTCTTTGGGGGCCAGATGTGGTTATGTACGTCTTTAATCCCAGCAATTTGGAGGTAGAGGCAGGTGAATCTTTTTTTAGTTCAAGGCCAGCCAGAGCTACATAGTGAGATCCTGTCTCAAACACACATGAAAATGTCTGTAAATTTTGAGTCATCTCTTAAAAAAAGTTAAGTACATTCAGAATGGTCTAGAAGTATAGCTCAGTAGCAAAACACTTGCCTAGTGTGTATAAGACCCTGGGTTTGATCTCTAGCACTCCTGGAAGTCTTAGACATTTCTTTTCTGTTTCTGGGATAAAACACCATGACCAAGGCAATTTATAGGAGTTTATTGGGTTTACAGTTCCAGAAGGGTAAGAGTCCATTATGGCTGGGGGAGACATGGCAGGTGGCATCCAGAACTGAAAGCTGAGCATTCACATCAGAACAGGCACAGGAAACAGATACCAAAGTGCAAGAGGGACTGGGTTACAAACTCTAAAGATCTGACCCCTGTGATGTGCCTTCCTTCAACAAGGTTGCACCTTTTAAACTTAAGACAGTACCACCAACTGGGGCCAAGTATTCAAATACTCAGAGTTTATGGGGGATACTTCTCATTCAAACCACCACAGAAGGAAAGGGAGAGAAGGAAGAAAGGAAATTATTCAGAAGAAATACTTGACTATGTATGAGATGCAAGAGAATGCCTGAGATGTTTATTGGATCATTTTGAATTACTGAAGAAGTAGAAAGAAATTACAATACAAATTTATAGGAGGGATTAAAGAAGTTTGTTAAAAGTAGTTTAATGGGGCTGGAGAACTTGGGGAGATCCAACACTTCTGGACTCTGGGCCCTTGCCTTCACATGCACATATCCACATACAGGAACATAATTTTAAAAATAACAAATCTGGGGCTGGAGAGATGGCTCGGGGGTTAAGAGAACTGACTGCTTTTGCAGAGGACCACAGGTTCCATTCCCAGCACCGGCATGACTGCTGACAACGGTCTGTAACTTCAGTTCCAGGGGATTCTATGCCCTCTTGTAACCTCCACAGGCATTGCATGACACAAGTGTACCTTCCTACATGCAGGTATTTTACTCATACCAATAAAATCTTATAAAGTTTAATACTACTTAGTTGCGGGTCATAGAATATTGGTATGACTAGGGCTGCAGGGATGACTCATCAGTTAAGAATACTAGCCACTCTTGCAGAGGACTCGTGTTTGATTCCCAGCACCCAGTGGCAGCTAACAACCATCCATAATTCCTGTTCCAGGGGATCCAACCTTTTCTGGTTTCTTTGGATTTTGTGCCACATGAGTGCGTTTACATACATGCAGGCAGTATACACATACACATAAAAAAAATTTTTTTTTCTTTTTTTTTGGTCTTTTTGAGACAGGGTCTCCCTGTAGCCCCAGCTGTCCTGGAACTAACTATGTA